AAAAACTCAAAAATTAGGTCCCCTATGTTTTTGTAGAGTTGGTAATTCAGTAAAAAGTCTTGTCACGCATAATCACGACCAATCATTGTTTACATCAGCGACCATTTATGTAAATTCATATAACTCTTACACATCCCTAGTAATATGTAATATATGTAGCTAGGGATATGTTGTAACACTGAATATTTTAAGCCATTTTTTTGTGTGGGGGGTGATTTAAGACAAGTTGGAGGTTTTCCTAACTTCTAAAATCATCTTACGTTTTGTCTTTAGCACAATCTTCAGAAAAAAGATAAGAACTTTCTTAAGAAATGCTTTTGATGAAATACAAGGAAGTTAGCAAATAGCAGTAAAAAATTATATTATTCTTAAGAAAGTTTTGTGAATCTGACCCCTAAGCTGTATTAACTAGAATTCGGAAACAGTTGTCTAAGTATTTTATGGGCAAATGCTCAATGGAATTAGTAATTTGCTGAAGTGAGACCCAATGTTTGCAAAATTTTACAGCTGTTGCTTTTGTACATCCCCATCGGCAAACTAATGAATCTGCAAAATTAGTATTTGCCTAAGTCAAAACATTACTCCGATAATAGTAGTGTTGGTAAGAGACAAAGATTATGTTGATGGTTGAATTTTTGGCAAGGAAACTTGATATGATGCAATATGTTTTTGTATGTTTCATCCACAATGTCCAGAGATGGCTGGACTGAAATAGAGTTACAAAAAATATGTTTGGCTGTGGTACCTGGGAAGACTTCATTGAGGTTGATGGGAGGTTTGTTGGTGTCCACAGTGATCTTGTACTTGGCATTTTTGATAGCTGAGGAGGGGTAGCACACTAACCGAAGGGGCAGGTTGAATTTACACTGAGATACTCGAGGGATTCCTGACAAAGTGAAGACAAACACAAAGACAAGTCATTACCCAAGTCATTCAGGTAAAGACAAGAACCACTCAAACACACACTGAACTGTAAAAAGCCTCATCTACAGACTAGTCTTCAATAATTTCAGCCAAAATTAGCACGGCTGAACAAGTCTTAAAAAATAATAATGATGAGGCAGAGGAGACTCTCCCATGTGTTTGTGAACAGTACATAGGTACGTGTCTATTTTTCCAGCATCACTGATCTTACATTATTTTCTTCAAACTCTTAGAGCAGGGGTGCCCACACTCGGTCCTGGAGGGCCGGTGTCCTGCAGAGTTTAGCTCCAACCCTAATCAAACACACGTGAAGCAGCTAATCAAGGTCTTACTAGGCATACTAGAAACTTCCCAGCAGGTGTGTTGAGACAAGCTGGAGCTAAACTCTGCAGGACACCGGCCCTCCAGGACCGAGTTTGGGCACCCCTGCTCTAAGAGTTTGAAGAAAATAATGTAAGATCAGTGATGCTGGAAAAATAGACACGTACCTATGTACTGTTCACAAACACATGGGATCAGTATTTGTTGAGTAGATCAGTGCATCTGAGGTTTCAGTAATGCTTTCCTGTTATGTCTGTTAAGGTAATCTGAACCTGTACTGTAGGGCCATAAACCACTGAGCTAATGTCTTACTTGAGAGCAGGGTTTCCCAAACGGGGGTTTGAGAAATAATAAAAATAGTAGTGGAATTGTAGTGATATAGTGAGATTATCAAATCAAATACTGCGATTTAAATATGTAGTCTGTTGAGCTGCGTGTTTCAAAGTGAAGAGCATCACTGTGTTCATGAGAACAGCTCATGATCGGATGTTTTCAGTGTTTCAGCTTGGTTCACAATAAATGAAGAAAGTATTGTTGTTATTATTAAATTTGAGTGGGTTCCTAAAAACAACAGTGTGAATGCAATGTGGACTGAGACACTATCACAAGTAATGTTTATCTCATTGCACTTCATATATGACAACATAATCGCAATATGTTTTTTAAGCAAGTCATGCAGTCATCACTATACAGCCTATATAAAAATAATTTTCAAATAAAAACAATTTTAAACGCTTGCCAAAAAAATTTTTTTGGGGGGGGGGGGGGGGGATGCAGCCATCTCTATACAGTATATAAAAATAATTTTAAAATAATTTTTTTTAAACACTTAGATAAAATATTTAATCTTTTTTTTTTATATTTACTTGCATGTTTTGACCATTAACCGACATCAGAAAACTTTGAATTTGCGAATGCGTTGTTCAATTATTGAAATATTAACTTAAAATCTCAGAGGATACATAGTTTATGTCTAAGGGATTTGACTGACAAAAAAGTTCTGAAACTGCTGCTTTAGAGCAAAGAAGGACATGACTTCAGATTGGGAATAAAATCACCTGTATGACGCTATCACCCCCTACCCCCTACTGGACACATCAACTAAAACAGTGAATGTGTATTTTAAATGACCTGTGCTTTGTGTGTATATTTATGAACATGTCTGCACATTAAAGTGTTTGCCTACAGCTGAACATATGCAGTCACATCTGATGATAGGAAAATATATCCTGTTCTTAGGACCTTTCAGTCACTCACCTGCAGGGTTGAGCTCTGGCATGGGTGGCAGCAAGAAAGAAGAAGAGCAGAATATCGGAGTTACACATTCACACTGACACAAGAATCATACTACAGAGGAGCAGTCAGGGGTGACTGTAGTACAGGAAAAATTACTGATAATGTACTTTCATATTATATAAACATTCAAAATCAAAAGAAACAGAAGAAAAACATCCACAACATCCACAAAAAAGCACACTTTTAATGTTAATTAAAAAAAAATGTTTGCCAGTATTACACAACTAAAAATCACCACAGAGTACTGTATATATACAGTGGGGCAAAAAAGTATTGAGTCAGCCACCAATTGTGCAAGTTCTCCCACTTAAAAAGATGAGAGAGGCCTGTAATTTTCATCATAGGTATACCTCAACTATGAGAGACAAAATGAGAAAAAAAATCCAGAAAATCACATTGTAGGATTTTTAAAGAATTTATTTGCAAATTATGGTGGAAAATAAGTATTTGATCAATAACAAAATTTCATCTCAATACTTTGTTATATACCCTTTGTTGGCAATGACAGAGGTCAAACGTTTTCTGTAAGTCTTCACAAGGTTTTCACACACTGTTGCTGGTATTTTGGCCCATTCCTCCATGCAGATCTCCTCTAGAGCAATGATGGTTTGGGGCTATCGCTGGGCAACACGGGTTTTCAACTCCCTCCAAAGATTTTCTATATTTTGAGATCTGGAGACTGTGCTCACCAAGGCTGTATTTATATGATTAATATACAGTTTAAACAGTACAGCTCTGAAATATTATAACAACTAAAAAATAGGGCAAGATATTGCAAAAAAGAAGAAAATAATAATAATAAATTTACTGAGCAAGGATACATTAAATTGATCTAAAGTGACAGTAAAGACATTTACTACAGATTTCTATTTCAAATAAATTCTGTTCTAGTTCTTTGATGAATTTCTATTCATCAGTAGCCTAAAGGGATAGTTCACCCAAAAATGAAAATTCTGTCATCAATCTGAGCAACCATCTTCAAGAATCGGCTTTTAGATTTGCACTCTATTCATTTGTTGCGTTTTTTCTTTATGAAACAATAATAACACTAGCTTTCTAATCTTTTTGTATTCTATCTGTTTTCTTTTCATTTATTATACAATTAACAAAAGCAAAAAAGACCTCTAACACTAGCTTGCTCCATTCTTTTTCTATTCTATCTGTTTTCTTTTTATTTATTATATTATTTTTAAAAAAAAACCTTGCTACGTGTTCTGCGTTAAGCTAACTGAGACTTGTTATAGCACTTGTATATCATTGCTCTTTTGTTGATTTTGATTGCTTCCATTGTCCTCATTTGTAAGTCGCTTTGGATAAAAGCATCTGCTAAATGACTAAATGTAATGTAAATGTAAATTACTCACCCTCATGTCGTTCTAAACCTGTAAGACATCCGTTCATCTTCGGAACACAAATTAAGATATTTTTGATGAATTCTGAGAGCTCTCTGACCATCCCATAGACAGCAATGTAATTACCACGATCAAGGTCCAGAGACGTAGCAAGGAGATCTGTAAAATAATCCATGTGACATCAGGGGTTCAACCGTAATTTTACGAAGCTACGAGAATACTTTTTGTATGCAAAGAAAACAGAAATAACAACTTTCTTTTTTCTTTTTGGTTCCATTTTGGAGTGTATCCACTGAACATGATATTCTGTGTCAGCTGTGTCATGCAGATATGTTGTTTTCGTTCAAATCAAAGTGTAAACAACGTAGAAAACGTATCCGCGTGACCAGTGGTGGAGGTAACGAATTACAACTACTCACGTTACTGTAATTAAGTTGTTTTTTCGGGTACTTGTACTTTTTTGAGTATATTTTTAAAGCTGTACTTTTACTTGTACTTAAGTACAAATTAAGCAAAATAATCTACTTCGTTATTTTAAATCATAGTTCGTTACTGAGTACGCCCACAATTTGAATTGATCAAACCTTTGACGGCACTTCACTAGCCAATAAAGATATCCGACCGTAAACAGACCAATAAAAGCCCTGATATCTGAACCGGGACAAGCCGCGGCTTTAAAATTTGCTGTGCACACTACAGTCTCCGTGCTCACAGTGTCTCAGACACAAATATTTTAGCTGAATCACTGTCAGACTATCTGCGATTTCAGTATGGAGATAAAGGTTAGGGTTATAATTTTTCAGTATTACATGACATCGTGGGTGTATATTAGCACAGTTCGTTGTCGTTGTTGTTGTTGTTGTTGCTGGGTTTTTTTGGGGGGGGGGGGGCGTCTGGCAGAGCGTTAGGACCCAGAAGCAGTGAAGCGTGATGTCAGACGTAACAAGCTGATTTTAGGCTTGTTTGAGAACCGATCACCGGTGATCACCACGAGATGCATGTCGGTTAGAAAAGTGTCCGAGTTACATCCGACTTGCTCTGATGTCATGCTGACGTGTGCCAAAAAACTCTCGCGACGGCAACGCAGCTGTGTCGGATTGTGCAGTCGAGCGCAGTTGCTCTCCACCGACTGCGCTGATCAAAAGCATGATGGGAAACGACTGACTGACGGCACAGCTTAATGCTCATTGGTTCAGACAACCGTGATGCTGTGTTCTTTTCTAAAATGTTTTATTTCTTTATCTGGTTTCATGTGATTTAAGTATTTAAATTATGCATGAATATTCTCAAACACTATGACGATGTGCGATCTCTGTGTGAGATATGTGATTGTTGTCCTATTTCTATAAAAATCTAAAATACATGTTTGTTTTAAAGTAAAAATGAATGATAAATACGCCTTTCGTATGGAATTAAATAGCAAGCACTTTGAGTGTCTTGCTCATCTTATTTATTTTTATATAAAGGCAACAGAACTGAAATTATATGTTAATCAGCATCACAGCACATGAGTGAGAATAACGCAATATCCGCCTTTGATCTCGTAGGTCTCTGTTCACTTTGAGAGGGCAGAACTGTCCGTCTTGACTGCGCTTATTTCACTCCTCCCCTCACTGCAGCCGCCTACTCTCGCCTGCATTTCAGGTGCACCACAATAAAACCCCACCCTTTATTCAATATTCCGTTTCACTTGGAAATACATCACAACACTGAAGTCAGTTGCAACTTCTGGTTCATGGGTACTTTGATATTTATATTTTTCAAGGTATTGAAGTTAGAAATTGCTCTATCATGACCACTAATTCACATACTTTGTCAATAAGATAAAAGTGGGTTTTGTTCAAAGTAGCTATTATCCACATAGATCTTTGGTATGAATTAATATTTTTTGGTAATTCATTAAATATCGCAGACTAAAAAGTAACTAGTAACTAGTACTCTGAGTAGTTTTTGAGAGGAGTACTTTGTACTTTTACCTAAGTACTGATTTGAC